GTACGCTCTTTCATGGGATTGGCTGGATATTATCAGCGATTCGTCGAGTCATACTCGAAAGTGGCAGCTCCTTTGTCGAGACTTCAGTCCCCGAAGATGCCCTTCGAGACGACGCAGCCCGTGGCGCGTTCACTACGTTGAAGGCAGCGATGCAAGCCGCACCTGCCCTCCGTATATATGACCCCACCCTTCCCACCCAAGTGAGTACGGACGCTTTGGGATACGGCATTGGTGCGGTGTTGGAACAGTGCCACGAGGAGGGTTGGCATCCGGTCGAGTATTTCTCCCAAAAGGTGCCTCTCGTCAACACTCTTGATGACGCTAGGAAGAAAGAGCTACCCGCGTTCGTCACCGTTCTCAAACGATGGCGCCACTTTCTTCTCGGYCGTCGGCGTTTTAAATGGAATACGGACAACAATCCGTTGACCTTTTACAAAACGCAAGACACGATCACGAGCACGATCGGTCGATGGATGTATTACATCGACCAATTCGACTTTGATCCGTGCCACATTCCCGGTCTCGCCAATCGAGTTGCGGACGCCCTATCGCGACGGCCCGACTTTTGTGCCATTGTGACCACGGCATTCGACCTCGATGACGATCTGCAGCGCATTTCGTCAAAGGCTACAAGTCCGATCCGACTTACTCTACGCTATATGCAGAGCTCTCATCGGATCACCCGCCGGCTAGCCACTATCGGATTTTCGACGGGTTCCTTCTCCTTCACACAAGAGGAAAGGACTTGTTAGTTGTGCCCCAAGATCGCATCTTACGGACTCGTCTTCTCGGCGAATTCCACGACGCACGACTTTCGGCACACCTTGGCGTGAACCGCACATTAGCACGCCTCCGCCAGCGTTTTCACTGGCCCGACGTCCTTCATGACGTCACGAGGTACGTCGAGTCATGTGCAGTTTGCCACCGCAACAAGGGTCGATCTCGAGTCCCTTTGGGCGAACTGAAACCGTTGTCGATTCCCCGGGCACCGCGCCTCTCCATTGCTATGGACGTGACAGGCCCTTTCCCCCGCGATCGCCACGGCCATGACGGTATTCTCACGGCCGTTGACCGTTTGAGCAAGTATGCTCGCTTCCTTCCTTGCAAGTATCATGCTGCAGCACCCGAGCTCGCACGACTCTTGCACACCGGTTGGATTACCAACCAGGGTGTTCCGGAAGACATAGTGAGCGACCGAGATACTCGCTTCATGTCAACCTTTTGGACTTCCCTCATGGATGAGTCCGGTGCGACTATGAAGCTGAGCTCGGCTCAGCACCCGCAGACGGATGGCTTGACAAAGCGAGCGCACCAGACCGCTCAGATGATGTTGCGTACGCTCATCCGTCCCGACCAAAAAGATTGGGTTGACCGGCTTCCCGACATTGAGTTCGCCTATAACACTTCGGTGCACCCGGCGATCTGCGTCACACCATTCGAGCTACATCATGGTGGAGAGAAAGCACGGATCTTCGCTGATCTCCTTTTGCCACAGGCCGCCGACATAGACGTCCCTTGCTCTCCCGCTTCCGTTCGGAAGTACCGGGACTTGCTGATCAAAGCCCGCGCAAATATGCAAAAGGCTCAGATCCGCATGCAGCAGCAGGCT